CGTTTATAAAAATCTAATTTGCATGAGCCAAATATATTTTTAATTTTAGAATGAATCATAGTCTACAGAAATTTCCTTATAAGGCAATACTTTATGATGAAGAGTTGTTCCTTGGTTCCAGTCGATACAGTTTATTTTTTTTGAAAAATTCCGTGAAACGATAACATTGCTAGTTGCAACTACACTTAAACATTTTTGTAAAATTTCAAAAGTAAACTAAATATTTGGATTGATATTGCAGCCTACTTAAATATTCGTACACAAAGATTAATAATTTAATGAAATCATGAATACCCTGTTGATATTTATGGTATGTCAATTCTTTATCTTTAAGGCTCACTCTGCACGCAGTAGAGTTTTCTCAATATTTCAAAATAGTAGTATCATTCTGGAAACTTAAAGCCATATAAAAGCTCAGTAAATAAAAAATTAAAAGATGTTCTATCTGTTTTATTTCTTTATGTAAAGATAAGACTTTGTACTCTTTATAATTTAATTCAATAGCGTGTCAAAGATGTCAAAATTTAAAACACATCCCTATTTATTTACCGACTCCATATTGATTTTATATGTATGAAGACGTACCAGTGGGTGGTCACAGTGTTAAAGTTTAAATTTATCTAGAGAAAAGTAAGCTTGTCCCCTTCTAGAATGTATGATTCATATATAAAGAAACCATCACAAAACTGTGTTCAAAGGGCTTTAATTAAGATTTATACTAGGCAATCAAGGCTATTTGAGAAGTTATTTACTAATATCTTGATCGTACCAAAGCCTTCCATGACCTTAGTTTTAAGATATTCCGATCCTCATAATCGAAAATGCTTAAAAAAGTCGCTGAATTCTCAAAGTATATGATTTTATCTATGAGAATTCTTCAGACTTCATCTTTAAAGCTAATCATATTACATGTGAAAATTTAGTATAAATTTTCCACTTCAAATTTGATCAACAAACCATTTTAGATTTGAGTTGTATAGGTATCCAGGATTTTGTAAAAAATGCATAAATATTATACTAATAAGATACTTTAGTTTTTATTTTTTTTATTTTGATCATTTTACAATACAATATGTATAAAGACGTTCCTATCATTGCATAACACCACAAATCACTTTTATTATTTCATATCATGTTTATAACGATTGGTATTTAGATTTTTATAAAACAATCAATTTCTTTCAATAAGTTATCTCAAACACTTTTATGGGATAAAATTTTTGAATTTTTATAAGACCTTTCTGACATCAAAGAAGCTTGAAGCACATTGGGAGGCATAAAGAAAAAAATGCTGCATGAAACGATTAATATTCAATTTTTAAAGCTTCATTTTTGAATTTGTGTTTTGAAATTCATTATAAATTTAAGATTTGTCCTTCCTTTCTGAGGATCGGAGTACCTTAAGGTTTCATCCAAAGGGCCCACCATTTTCAATTCAACTAACAGAGTGCTTGGCCAAAAAAAAATTACTGCCTATTTTTGTCGACATACCGACTTTCCAATCAAACAATGTAATATATTTTATTGAGGAACATAGAAATACATTGTATTTAGTATGATCCGGTGAAATATTTTTCATTCCCTCGGATGGTACATTAAATGGTGCCACTTATTAAGGATTGCAACACCCTTTGCACGCAGAATATCAATTATTCAGTCATTGGAAATGAGTACGCTTTCTGAAAGCTGCCGGAGGAATAAATTATAACAAGTGAATAAAAACAGGTCAAATAAACTAATTTTTGCCAAAATACGGTTGAAATATGGCCTAGATGGCCTTGAACACTACTTAATCAATCCAATTGCCGAGCGCCTTTTCTACACTGGAAAGTTTGAAACTAAACCTGGTTGTCCTGCAAAAGTGTCTTTCATTCATCATTCATCAATCACATCCAATGTAATCTGTTTATCTTGTATGAGGGATCATTTCTTCCCTTCCGGTTTGACATTATAAGACATTGAGCTTTTTCTATGTACATATGTACAGTAAAATCTGTCTAATCCGACATGTACACACTGGGAGGCGAATTTTGTGTCGGAATAGACAGGGTGTCGGAATAGACAGGATATCCGGTTGCACATTGTAGAAAAAATATGTAGATTAATGGAAAATAATTTTACTTCATAATTTACAGTGTGTCGGATAACAGACATCGTATTAGACAGTTTTCCTGATTGTACAAGTATCGATAGTGTATTTAACACAGGACTAAAATATACCATATAATGCTTCACTTAATACATGTAGCCTTGAAAAATTCTTAAAATGTCATTAAATGGCACAGCTCAATCCTTTATAGGCCTATTAGTAAACTTTTTTGATTAATAAAAAGTTTCTTTTCGTGCAGGCCATAATTGAAAACTAACATGTTAATCTAGAAGCAAGTAAGTAAAGAATCAACAATAATTTAGTTTTTAAAACATTTATTTTTAAAAAATAAAGAAAACATATTTATCTTTCACTGTTTAATACACAATTTATACATACAAGAACTTTAAGCTTTATCTTGAATATATTTTGAGTCTGTCCTAGTTACAACCCCTTTGTGAGAACTAACAAATAAAAACTTAGTTTGTTTTTCAACTGTCTTGCATGAATAAAACTAGAAAACGAAAAATGTATTTCATGTTGCAATGAACTCCAGTGAAAATTAAATATTCAAATCAACAGCTGGGTTTAAATGGAGAACAAAGACATCAAAATAGAGATCATTTACCACGTAGTTGTAAGTATTCCCTGTCAATTGGACATGACTGCAATGCAGCTTGTCCCTGATAATAGTTGAGAGGATAGGACAATTTTGGTAAAACGCATTTTTAAATCGCTAAAAAAGAACTTGGGTCCGGTAATGATTATTTTTCATCGATAGAGACGTGTTAAGTTTTGTCGAGAACATTATTGTCATCGGAGCAAAAAACACCGATATTCTTATCACATAGCTGATAGTTGATAAGGGCCTTCTATAACGAAGAGGATGTTCCTTGCAAGAACATCAAAAGGTATGGGAATCTTTCACTATTTTCTGTGGAATAATGTTGTTTTTCAACTTGGCAGAAGAGAATATCCACATTCTCTGAAATATTGTACACTATAGGTACAATACATAATAAACAGTGGTATCAGAAAGTCCAGTTGGGTAAAAGACTTGCTCCTACACCCGCTACTTGTACCACGTGATGCGTTTCTTGTCTTGTTCAAGTTGCTTGGTTCCTGTGTTGTAATCCCTATCAAGCAAAACAAAGATGATAAATGAAGAATTGTGAAAAATGGATAGCAACATTAGATAAAAAGTAACAATAAAAAATATATGTGCCTAGCTGTGAAACACAGATGCCCCCATTTTTACAGCTTATTTCAAAGGTACAAGTTTCTATTGCATGTACAAGGTCCAAAGATCAAAAACATTGCTTCTAACATGAAGTACCTACATGTATTAATTAATGCAAGAGTCATGATACATTGTAAAACATAGTCATTCTTATTGATAGGCTGAGACACAGTTGATTAGACTGATGTTTAAAAAGAAGTTTTGTGGTTACATAGGAAATAAATTCGTTATGCAGGTCCAATCAAGGTTGTAAGGGAATTAATCCCTGGTTATATTTCATACACCCGTGTATGGAACACCATTGATTGAGTCTGGGTAACTAATGATATAGGCGCTAGAGCGCCAACTCGCTAAAATCATGGCAAAGATTGTTTTAAGTGTAGGTCAAAGGTAAATGACAAGATGTTAATAATGTTGTTTGTATTCTTGTGAAAGTCGAAATCACTGTCTGGTATGTTGGGTACGCTAATTCTTTTAAGAATCATGGTCGTACCTTGGGATGTGGGGACCTCTGTGGATGTTGAGACCTCTCTGGACGGTATATCAATGATCTGTCCACCCATCACACACTGGTACTCCCCTGGATACTCTGCTGTATAACTATCTATTCCATTTTTGTGGGCGTGTCCTAAAGAGAACCAGATAACACATCTGTTTCATACTTTATACATTTTTTAACTGAGTATGATCTAATATATGCAGTTTTATTTAATGAATGTTTTTCAGTTTTGTGTGAGTTATTGGTGTGTGAATCACACAGATTTGTCACGTAGACATATTTCATGAAGCGCGCTAGCTGTTCGTGTAAAATATGCCTACATGCAAGTGTGTGATTCTCACACCAATAATTCTCACTAAACTTAAAATCATTCCTTATATTTACATTTTACATGTTTGGAAGCACCTAAAATATACTCAATATTTGAATTTCTCGCTGCCCTATATTGCTATACTTTTACTTACGTCGCTGTAGCCCTATTGTGAAGTCACGGCTACGCACGTGTCTCCTTGTATATTTTTACGCGTGAGTATACACGAAAATGATTTTCAAATCAATTTCACAGTTGGCTTAGTAGAAAAACACAGCGAATGTAAATGTTTTTATTTTAATATAAAAGGTTATAGTCTTCCAATTAAGGAATGTCTTTAAGTTTTGTGTGAGTTATTTGTGTGTGAATTACACAGACTTGTCACGTAGGCATATTTCATGAAGCGCGCTACATGCAAGTCTGTGTGATTCACACTAAACATAAAAACATTCCTTATATTTACATTTTTACATGATTGGAAGCACCAAAAATATACTTAAGATTTGAATTTCTCGCTGTCCTATTTCGTTGTACTTTTACTCACGTTGATGTAGCCTTTTTGTGACGTCGCTGTAGCCTCATTGTGACGTCTTGTTAGCGCACCTTTCTCCGTGTATATTTCTACTCGTGAGTATACACGGAGATGGTTTTCAAATCAATTTCAAGGTTTGCTTAGTAGAAATCACAGCGAATGTAAATATTCCAAGATAAAGTCTTCCATGAACTTTAATCCTTTTTTAGCTCACCTGAGCTGAAAGCTCAAGTGAGCTTTTCTGATCACCCGGTGTCCGTCGTCCGTCCGTCCGTGTTTACGAGAGTGCATTTATTGGGTATTTTTCATGCCAAGATTGTACTTATTGGGTACTTTTTGCTTATTGGGTATACCCAATAAGAAGTGTCGCTGAATATGCTTAAAACACCCCAATTGGGTATTTGCAGGTTAGTACCCAACAAAACTTGGACACGACGATTTGTCCAAAAAAGTGTCCAAAAAAGTTGCTTTCACGGACGCACCGTGTTTTGTATTTCAGTTTTACATTCGGAACTCTAAATTCTCGAGAGTTCCGAAAATCAACTTCCGTTGATCCTGATCATAACAACGTTTGTTTTCATGGGAAAAAATATGGCGAGTAAGAAACACTTAATGTCAACAACATTGTCTGATTGACAAGAGAAAAGGTAAGTTTATTCGATTAATATTTATCTATTGCTGGGTTCTTGTTTAAGGAAAATTGATTTTAATGTAATTTTGAAAACAATTGTGCACAAAATTAAAATAGATATATCGGAACAATTAATCCTAAGTTGCACTTGTATGTAATTTGAATTTTCTCTGTCTTTTTAACTCTCTTGAGGGCGAGAAGTATTTAGTAAATGATCGTATATTGTTAGATAATCTTTAATAAATCGAAAGTGTTAATTATTTAATTTTATATTATAACCAACTAAGTATGTTCTGACAATGTATATTGGAAAGGGAAATGAAAATCTTAACAATCGTGTGTTCATAAATCAGCTGTAAATTATCGGTTCATGTAGACAGTATTACAATCGCAAAGTGAGCTGAGATGAGATAAATGGGATAATTGACAACAACTAAATAATTGTATGTAAGTTTATCTCATCTGATGTGTAAGAGAATCATTGTATTACTGAAAAAACGTTCAGTCAAAACAGTGCTTATTTCTGTCTTTGTTTTTGAGTGTCTGCTTTATTTTGATTTTTTTTAAATTATTGTTTTTGGCATTTGTTTTAATTAATTTAAAACAATACTGAAATTGATATAGGGCTACTATAAATATTTCACATGATGGGTGTGTAATTAGCATCGCGCTACACCTGGGGCTTCCATTTTTGAGGATGGGGCTAGTGGTTTTCTGCACTGAGGAATCCCCTTGGGCTATTATATATAGGAATTTTAAAATACACATGTAATGCATGAAAAGCACCACCGGTATTTTCACTCCTTTTTGCTATTAAATTCCCTATATGAAAATATTCAAGACAGCATGCTCCTATTATCCATAAATCTCCACAACTGCATCCATTTTGCATTACTACCAGACTGATTTACTTAAAAACGATCTTTTTTTTCCTAATTTGAATTCCCCCCTTTCCTTTGTTTAATATAGCAATATTTGCATGTACATGCAAATATTGCTATATTAAACAAAGGAAAGGGGGGAATATATTATATATGCCTCACAGATATCTCATTATTAAATTATATACATTTACTCAATCAGCTCAATGATAAGTGTCATGCAATTATGTTGCGCTTTTTTTATTTAAAGCCATATATGGCGTAACTGATCAAAAAATATATTTTTTGAAAAATACAAAATTAAGTAAAGAAATATAGTTAATACATTTAAATTAAAGCTTTTCATACAATTCGGAGCTCGGAGAACACCTCGTTTCATCTAATAATACGATTTTATCTTCTCTGTAATATGTTATTTAAATCTTTTGTATTTTCTTCCAAGTCGGAGAAAATTTCGAGAATCCAAATTAAATTTTGATATCTTTATAACGCAATTGACTTAGATTTTGTAATTTACGGAAAATTTCTATCTTTATCATGTTTATATAAATTAATGATACAAATAATAAGTTTTTATAATTTCAGTCTAATAATTTTCATTGTACATACGCCATACATGGTTTTAAATGATTCAAGATGTAAACAAAATGATTTTTGCTTCGTTTTAATTAGACGAACTAGTGAATGACCAGAAGAGGAATATTTAAAATCTTTTTTTCATTTTTTTAAATCATTAATTTATATATGATTAAATTTTACTAGCGACAATTAAATTAAACTTTAATTTTAAAAAGAATCATCTGTAGTTAATACCCTGACTTTTTTCACGATGAACTTTTTTTCAATGTTACTTTTTAATTTTTGCCTCTATATTTGGGCTTGTCACTTTTTACTCGGGGATAATAACTTTTTTTATTGCCACCAAGCTGTGGATTAGTACTTGATTTCTTTTATTGCACAGCAATGACTATGATTTAATAGCACAAAAAGCTAATGGGTTTACGTATGTGAATTTATATGATTAATGCTTACTTGTGATTTTAGGATAACTGGAGATAATGATTCCTTTTTTCCATTGATATTTCATAAATATTTTCCTAAGTATTATGTTACAATAAATTGGTTTAGATTTTTTTTATAAAAGTAATCAATAATTGCAATGGAAATTAAAACCATAATCATGTTCATTGAGGATTTTCATGTATTATGTAACAGGTCAAACAGGAACTTCAATTGTGAACATTGCAGAGAACACACTCATCAGAAGATGACCCTCAGAAATAGGACAATTGTAAGTAATCAGTAAAATGAACAGAAAAACTTCATGCCAACCATAAGATTTTTAGAGACATTTTCGCTTCTTAAATTAGAAGAAATAGAGGGAAAAACTTGTATATACTACATAACTACTAGGCAACCAACCTTTAACGGCAGGAAAGCTTTTGGTATGTGTAATACAGCTACATAAAACCTCTTTAGAATTCATGCTGAGTTTGAGAAAGTACCTTAGTATTTTTTCTAGTGTTCATGCACACTGTTAGCTTGTTTGTACTATCATTTTATTTTATATTCTTCAGATGCCCTTTACCTTTGCCAGTTTTGAATCATTTGTTTTAAGGGCATCTGAGGGTTGGTTCCAGAACTTAATTAATTGTAAAGTAAATACCGTGGTACTATTCGGTCATAGGTTATGTTAATGCGTGTATAACATTTTGTTCTGATAGAGGTGGCATACAGGAAAAGAAACAATACTAGATATCACTTCAAAGGAATAAAATAGCTTCATTTTGAAAAGCACAAGCGATTGCATAATAATTAACAGTAAATACAGACAGACATACACTACCATTCTTTTGTAAAGGGGGGGGGGCTGAGAAAAAGAAAACAAAAAACATGAATTTGATAAAGCAAAAGAAAAAGATCGAGGAAATCCTTCTCCAAACTTGAAAACGATTAATGTAGAATTAGGAGATAAAAAGATACTCATTTTTTATTTGAAAAATTAAACTTCAACATTAATGTGTGTTTATTCATATTGTAGCAGCGTAAAGGCGTATGAATTTTTTTTTTTGGGTGGGGGTGAAGAACTCAAGATTTATCCCTGAAAAGAATGGGTCACCTGTCCCCCAGATGCTACCTGCCTGACATGTATATATATATTTCTTAACTTCGCTGTAAATTCTGCAATGAATATTCCGATTTACTTATCGATTATAAATACATTCGAAGTTTTTCCGAGTTTATATAAAATTTTATATGCATGCAGCTAGCATCCAAATACGTGACAAGAGTATAAAGTTGCTTTGAATATTGAAGTGGTCAGTATGCGAGTTTATTTGTTTAGACAGTGATTAAATGTGAAGAAATTATTACGTCTTTGGTATTTTCTGTTTATAATATTTTGTTGCTTTTTCGCAAGAAATTGATTAAACGTGTCTTTATGTACATCTACGCGTGTGCTTTAATTTTCGCAATGAACAGGAATATTGCGATTACGTGCATGAGAATTACAAAATGTCCCGGAAAATCGTCAAAGTTTAACATATTAGTGATATTCATCGAAGTCTACAGAGAACTTTTTTTAATTTAAAAAAATGAAAGCTGGTGTATGCACTTTTCAAATACGAGCTACAAGATTGTGTCGCTTTCTATAGAAAACACGCTTTCCAAAGGTATTCACCTGTGGAGGAATAGAATCACGTGACATATTATCTATTCTTGGCAGGTCAACAAGAGGTTAATCCTATGTAAATGTATTCACCGAACAGATTCAAAATCATGATACTTTTAAGTAGAAGGCATAGAGCGGAATGTTGTTCAACAAAGATATTTTCACACAATCTCTATAAATATAATATACACATTATATTTTGATGTCGACTTTTAACAAATCTGCGCTCGATGTTAACGAAAGCTCTTAAGTGGGTACCTGTCACAAATTTCTTTTGATATTCATGAAAATCAAAGGACCCCACCTTCAAACCACAGCTTTGCATGTTCCTTTTTTGCAATTATTTGAAATTTTTAAACATTGGAGCATATACTACAGACATAAGAGAACAATGTAATTTACTTCTTAAGCTTTTTAATGAAACTTTAAAATTTTGACGAGAAACCGGGGACCACAGATAATGGCTTATTGAGACTTCTTCTTTTGTGCAAAGCATACCCCAGGAAGGGGGGATGGAGTGTCAAGTGTGTCTCTGTCCCTGTCAATATAATTTCAAAGCAGTTAGTAAGGTTTGGGTCAATTTTAAATCCTCTTTAGCAGAACCATTGGGCTAAAAACAATACTAATGTGAAAGCTTTATCATTAAGTGTAGAGATGTTTTTGAAGATTATGTACCCCTAATGTACTGATAGTTTTACATTAGAAGTCTAAAATTTGCAAGGAATAGGTGTAAAATCTTTTTAAAATCTCCTTCTTAACAATCAGAAACTAACAAACTGTCTAATTAATATGCAACATCGTTTTGTGTGTTGAATGATGATTCCATTTTGATAAAATTATGGCAGATGGGGGGTAGGATGAAGATGCAGTTAGACATAGAAGAAACAAAAAAGAGTTGATAGAATTTAGTTTTTTTTTCATTTTATTTATCAATACATATTTCTGAATAAGAAATATACTTCTACTTCTTGGTTGAGTTTGATCAACATAAAGGGTGATCTTACTGTAGTCAAGAAAAACATGTTTTATACGGCAAAGAAATGCCTTTATCTAATTGCAGAATGAATAAAAAGGACAGAGGCAGATTTGAAGGAGATGCATGAAATGAGGAATATTTCAAAGATTGCCTGAGCCTAACCACTGCTACTGGATAAACATATGGCAATATAAAAGAGCAGGGTCAATGGAGGTATCATACAGTATAGGCCATGAGAGATCCTGAAGAAGAAAGTATGGAAGAGAAACAAAAATAAAACCATTTTGACATTTATTGAAATATAGGATCAAAAACTTACATGTAAAATTTGGGCATGTAATGACTTTTCTCTTGCTCTAAGACTTATAACAGTGATGATTTCATTTAATATCTTTATCCCGATTTGTCGAAAAGATTTGGACATAGTGCATCAATTATTTTAAAGTTTTGATACAACGAATTCTTTCATTGTACTTGTAACTGAGTTTTCTGGTGCGACACTGTTTAATCGGCTTCAAAACTAAATTTGTGATTTCCAAACCAGATTAATAAGATACATGTAATATCTTTTAACATCGGTGACTATTAAATCCATTCTTTTACATCTCGGAAGTATTTTTATTATTACAGGGAAAATATGCATTGTACATGTATCTGTAATAAACAGGATTATAGAAATTTTCCATATAATACAACACAATCTTAGCAACTGAAGGCAAATATTCTATCAAGGGTGTGATCTATTTATCAATATGGTTTTCAGCATCTTGCTCTACCTGTAATGACTTGCTCAAGTTCCAATATTTAAATTTAAATTTTGCAAACATGGTTATAAAATTCTTTAAAAGCCAAATAGTTTAGGCACAAAATGCTTATATATTTCCTATCATTTGTAGAGTGTACACTGAATGAGATGTGGAATGTTAGAATTAAAGTATTAAATATGTTTTGGACTTATGTATGCTTATGCAGATAAATTTGAATTCAACTAGGGAAGGTAAATGTCATACTTATTTGGTTTGCAATCTAATGCAAGAGTATAAATATCCAAGACAAATTTGACAATTTTAATGAAGGGTATAAGTAACCCAAGAAGAATTGGACAAGTAAACATTACCTGTTGGGTTTTATTCTAATGTTGGGATGTAATATCCAAGAGGAGTTGAACCAATGTCCAATACCTATTGGGTTTTCTTTCTTATGAAAAAAATTTTGAGTTACCCAAGAAGAATGTCCAATACCTTTTAATTTATATACTATTGAAGAGATGAAGATATCCAAGAAGAATTGGACAGGTGTCCATTACATGTTGGGTAGTATTCTGATGAGGAGATTCTCAAGAAACCCAAGAATTAGACAAGTGTCCATTGCCTGTTGGGTGGGATGTAGATATCCAAGAGGAGTTGGACAGATGTCCATTACCTGTTGAGTGGTATTCTGATGAAACAATTCAAGAAACCCAAGAAGAATTGGACAAGTGTCCATTACCTGTTGGGTGAGATGTAGATATCCAAGAGGGGTTGGACAGGTGTCCATTACCTGTTGGGTTGTATTTTGATGATGCAATTCAAGAAACCAAAGAATTAGACAAGTGTCCATTGCTTGTTGGGTGGGATGTAGATATCCAAGAGGAGTTGGACAGATGTCCATTACTTGTTGGGTGGTATTCTGATGAATCAATTCAAGAAACTCAAGAAGAATTGGACAAGTGTCCATTACCTGTTGGGTGAGATGTAGATATCCAAGAGGAGTTGGACAGGTGTCCATTACCTGTTGGGTTGTATTTTGATGATGCAATTCAAGAAACCCAAGAATTAGACAAGTGTCCATTGCCTGTTGGGTGGGATGTAGATATCCAAGAGGAGTTGGACAGATGTCCATTACCTGTTGGGTGGTATTCTCATGAAACAATTCAAGAAACCCAAGAAGAATTGGACAAGTGTCCATTACCTGTTGGGTGAGATGTAGATATCCAAGAGGGGTTGGACAGGTGTCCATTACCTGTTGGGTTGTATTTTGATGATGCAATTCAAGAAACCAAAGAATTAGACAAGTGTCCATTGCTTGTTGGGTAGGATGTAGATATCCAAGAGGAGTTGGACAGATATCCATTACCTGTTGCGTGGTATTCTGATGAAACAAATCAAGAAACCCAAGAAGAATTGGACAAGTGTCCATTACCTGTTGGGTGAGATGTAGATATCCAAGAGGAGTTGGACAGGTGTCCATTACCTGTTGGGTTGTATTCTGATGGTGCATTTCAAGAAACCCAAGAATTAGACAAGTGTCCATTGCCTGTTGGGTGGGATGTAGATATCCAAGAGGAGTTGGACAGATGTCATTACCTGTTGGGTGGTATTCTTATGAAACAATTCAAGAAACCCAAGAAGAATTGGACAAGTGTCCATTACCTGTTGGGTGGGATGTAGATATCGGAGTTGGACATGTGTCCATTACCTATTGGGTTGTATTTTGATGAGGAGATTCAAGAAACCCAAATAGAATTGGACAATGTAAACATGTTCAATTGTTCTTGGGTAGTTTAATCCCTTCGTCAAAATACAACCCAACAGGTATTGGACACCTGTCCAATGCCTGTTGGATACCTTCATTCTGCCCAACATGTAATGGGCATTTGCTTATTATTAATTGGTCAAGACTCAAAAAGGTTTCTCCTTAAATACTTATTTTTGTTATTCAAGAAAGGTTGAACAGAGTCTTAGATGTGTTGAGTTGTGTTTGCACAATTCAGTTTTTTTTTTGCACTTAGGTATTCATATATTTTAATATTAGATATTTTGAAATATACAGGTGTATATCCTTATTGCTAAGAACAAATTAGTTAGGTGTTACAATGAAAGAGCTATATCACAGAAACTGACAAAAATATGGGTTCAAAACCAAAGATTTTCAGTCTTGTCTGAATTTACCAGCAAATATTAAATATATAATAAATTTGGAATGAATAAAAAAACAATAAGAAAAAACCCAATAAAATACGGACACGAGGATTAATATCCAATAAGATTTGAACAGTAACTACCCAAATAATGCTCTCTCGTGTGTACACTTTTTTTGTATCCAATAAGCAGTATCCAATAGGACTTGGACTTGATGTACCCAATATATAACCAAATGTGTGTCTGTCCGTCTGTCTGTCCGTCCGTCCGTCCGTCCGTCCGTCTGTAAACTTTTCACATTTTCAACTTCTTCTCAAGAACCACTGGGCCAATTTTAACCAAACTTGGTACAAAGCATCCTTGGGTGAAGGGGGATTAAAATTGTTAAAATCAAGGGCCAAGACCCCTTCCAAGGGGAGATAATCACAAAAAAACGAAAAAAGGTTGGGGTCATTAAAAAATCTTCTCCTCAAGAACCAAGAGTTATGTCCAAGACACGATGTAGATACGATATCGACACATTACTTTTTATAGTTTACTATAATAGTTCTATATTCTCATGTGTTTATTACAATACTTTCTGTTTTAATACTATTTCCTTACTGTTAATATCTTCGATATCGTGCCGATATCGAATCATGGTTGTTCCAAGAATTGTGATTTCCATCCTTAATATGGTGTTTTTTAAGAACTGTTACTTAAAAATTTCTTTATAAATCTTTCCCTGATATGTCGATATCGTCGATATCGATGATATCGCTTCGATATCGATGATATCGCTTCGATATCGAATCTTGTTTGCTCAGCCCGTGGTAAATACTTTCCCTTTTTTCTATGAATGTGTTTATGTTTAAATACTTTACTTTTACGAAGATATTACCTGCCATCGATATCGACGATATCGTATCGATATCGAATCATTTTTGTTTAGAGCATATTACTTTACCAATATTCACCCTAATACAAAAACTTTATTTCTACATCACTTCTGTGTTTAAGAAGTTTACCTTACTGTCGATATCGTCGATATCGACGATATCGTATCGATATCGAATCATGATTGTTAAAACATTTTCAAGAATTTTCACCCTAATCCAACATCTTACTCTAAATCTAATCTAAAACAATAACAACCCTAAAATTTTCTTAATCATATTATTGTATTTTTATATTTATGCCAATTAGAAATAGAATTTGACTTCACTCGTGACTTTCTAAAATTCTGTTATACAACGTACCTCAATGTGAAAATAAATTGTGCAAATAGGATCGATATCGATACGATATCGTCATGATGTTGTCGATATCGACGACATCGACGTAATATAGAGTCTCAAATACGGCACCAGGTATTTCCAGTTAATAGTGCTCACCATGATCGATATCAATACGATATGGACATAATATTGTCGATATCGTCGATATCGACATTGGATTTGTTCTTGGACATGTATGAGAACCAATGGGCCACAAAAGTTGAAATTTATGTGGAAGCATCCTGGGGTAGTTTAGATATTAAATTGTTAAAATCATGACCCCCGGGTGTAGGGCGGGGCCACAATATGGAATCCAAGTTTTACATAGAAATATATAGAACAAATCTTTTAAAAATCTTCTTCTCAAGAACCACTTGGCCAGGAAAGCTGAAACTTAAGTGGAAGCATCCTTGGGTAGTGTAGATATTAAATTGTTAAAATCATGACCCCCGGGGGGAGGGCGTGCCACAATTGGGAATCCAAGTTTAAACTAGAAAAATATATAGAATAAATCTTTAAAAATCTTCTTCTCAAGAACCACTTGGCCAGGTGTTAATATTAAATTGTTAAAATCATGACCCCTGGGGGTAGGGCGGGGCCACAAAAGGGAATCTCAAGTTTTACATAGAGATTTATTGAACAAATCTTTTAAAATCTTCTATTCAAGAACCACTAGGCCAGGAAAGCTGAAACTTATGTGGAAGCATCCTTGAGTAGTCTGGATATTAAATTGTTAAAATCATGACCCTCGGGCGTAGGGCGGGGCCACAAAGGGGAATCCAAGTTTTACATAGAAATATATATAGAACAAATCTTTTAAAAAGATCTGCATCACCCAAGTTACTCAGGTGAGCGATGTGGCCCATGGGCCTCTTGTCTATTTTATATTAAAGCTTATAAATATGTTAAATATAATAATTTTTTTTCTTTCACTCATATGGTGACATCATCTTTCACGCAAAGACTCGTTCTCCAGGTGTACGTCTCACAGCAGTTTTAAACCCGCGACGTTATGATTATCTCTGAACATCGCTACTCTAGAACAGATGCTCTCACCACTGCGCGTGTATCTAATCTCAAGTATTTAAGATCTGAAAACAAATTTTTAAAAATCGTTGACCTACCTTGTTCTTTTGTTTGACACAGTGTCTTTGATATTCCTTTGTTCCATGTACAGGTGACGATAAAATCATCTTCTTCCTTCTTCTTTATATGGATTCCGTCTGACGACATATTGAAGAATTTATGTTGACAGGTCAGATTTATGTGCTCTTTGTTATGGGTGGCAAAAACCGTGAATTCTGAAGCTATTGAAATCAAATAAATAAGATAAAAAAATTAAACGCATATTAATCGTTTTCTTACTAGTTCGATCGATCGAAGGATAGAGAAAGACTTACGACATGGTATCATAATATAAGTTTCATTGACATGTCTTCCATTATTACACCTGGAATGTATCACCATCTGTTTTCCCGCATGATGTTCCAGATTGAAAGTGAAACTGAATGTCAGAGATTTATTGGTATTATCATAATTCCCATTAATACACCACATTTTTCCTTGATTCCAATCACATTGATCAACATGATTAGGATCTCCCTCTACAGTAATCGTAATATGTCTGACGTCACAATCAATGCCAGTTACAATGGTTTTTCTTTCATTGTGGCAGAATTCTTTTGTTTCTTCAGTTTTTGACAACATTACTGAAAAAAAAAAAAATTATATTTTCATTAAAAACCATTACATAAAGACATACCGAAGATATGGTTATATATAAAAACCATATACCAATACTTAAGGTAATATTTACTGTGATAGAAATTTTCGCCCCCTTTAATTTTCGCCCCTTTCGTCCTTTTGATAAGTGGGCGAATTTAAAACGTAGCAAATTCAATTAAACAGCATAATTTCTTGACAGAACTTAAAATGGGCAAATTTAAACTGGGCCAAATTGTTCACAACTGCAAATGGGCGAAAATAACTTGGGGCAAAAATAACCCAGTGTACTACATTAATGTTACATGTAATGATTTTATCGTAGGAAACATCATTGTTGATGTGTAATGAGAGAAAAAAAATGTAATCAGGGTATGAATTTTTATTGAAGTGTCAAGTTCAAGTTCAGTTTATTTCACCCAAACAGCATATTGGTGCATTAGGTAAGGTGCATATATGACATATATACATTATATATAATATATAATAATAATAATAATAATGCCTTATTTAGAGAAGGTTACCCGATTAGTACAAGGTACTATTCTTCCCAGGGGCCTTCTAATTTCAAACAACATATTACATAAAATGATACAATCAAAGATAAAACATGTAGAGTTCGTTAATGTATGAATAATTTAATGTAATGTACAGCTAAAAGAGATATAGATTCAAAATAAAGAAATCAATATTAATTGTTCATGAGACAATGTCTTAAACA